CCTTCCCTGTCCTCCTGCCTGACCCGTGGCAGCGCCCCTGACCGCCCTTGCCTGGCCCCGCTGCCTGTCCCCCTTGTGCCCTGCCTGCCCTCCTGGCTGCTGCAGGCACCTGGCTGCTAGGCTCTCCCGCATACCCTTTGCCTCCTCCGCTCACCCCTCTGCCCCGCACATCTCGCCCTGGCCCTGCCCGCTCCTTCTTGCCCTCCTTGCCTGTGCCTCGGTGTCCGGGATTCTCCCCGGGTTGTGCCTTGCAACTCCCCTCGCTGCATCCCTTCATGCCTTCGCAACTCGCTGCAATCCCTCTGTGCCCCCAGCTTCCCTCTGGTCCTTCTAGCTGCACCGTGGCTTGCCACCATCCTCGTGCATCCCCCTGATCATCCTCTGCCTGTCCCACTCCATCTCTTGCACCTCTTGCATCTCTTGAATCTCTTGCATCCCTTGCATCTCTTGCATCCCTTGCCTCAACTGTCTGCCCTGCACATTCGTTTGTTGAGGCTTGTATTCGCCCGTTCTCCCTTTCCATTTGTTTCCCATGTATTTAGCTTTCATCTGTAGTGTTGGCCTTGTCTGTCCACTGCCTGCAGCCTCCTACCAAGTGTGTCCCCTCTCTGTCGGTCAGTCTGTTTACTAACTGTGCCATCCATCTCCACGGTACCAGCCATCTCATTCCTGTCCAGCCATTGCAGTTATGTGTTACTGAATCCCTCCAGCACAGCTTTCCAGCAGTTTATCCAGGCAACCACTGTGCCTGTGAACTTTGCACATCTGGCTCTAACAACATCACTCTGCAAATTAGCTGTCTCCTGTCTATCTGCCCATCTCTCTTCTCCTTCATCTCTCTGTCGCTCAGTTCATTTTTCTCTCTCTCTATCTTTCTGTGGCATCTCTATATCATTTGTCCACAAAATAAATCTCCTTCTATCCTGTATACTGCCCACTCATCTTCTTTATCTACCCTCCCACTTACCAAAGGCATATACATTTACAGTATCTATGGGATCTGTTGCATTATACATGTGCTTGTTATATTCACATACAAAATTTATGGGTACACATAATCTCACACAACACAAATGATGTGGATCAGTGCAGCAATGCTGTACTGTTCTTTTTCTGTTGCTGTCACCACAGTTTATAAAGAAGTTGTGTATTTACTAACATGTGGAAGGCTTTCTCAGTGTACATTTTGGAGTTTATTATTTTTTAATAGGCTGTTGTTGGCAGATCTGGGGCGGGCTTGTACTTCCATTTAGTATTCAATCAATCACTGGCTTCTGTAACACTTCCAAAATCGACTTTGTGTAAAATGTAGACAAATACAGTGAAAATTTTTTGTCACTGAAATATTACAAGGTATTATGAATGGGCCCTGGAGGCACATTTGAAAGGCGTCTAGGATAACAAATGAAGACACCGACTCTGCAAAAAATCCCATTCAGAGATTGACAAAAATAATAAAGATTCTTAGGAAGAGAAAGGGAAGAAAAATCTACATTTGTCTCCGTACAGAAAGAAGCGAAACAGATAGAGGCAATGAGAAAATGCCTTTCCAGCAATAATTTTAAATAACGATTGGGAGGCTTTGATTCAAGGACCAGAATTACAGTCTCCGCCATAAAGGCCAGCTTGCACATTTATCACCTACGCCAAATTTAGTTAGGACTTATAGTACAAAATTGCAGGAGGGCCACTGGTATTTCTGAAATGTTTCAGGCAGCAGGCTCTTCTGTTTACAAATAAGGGGTTATGTCAGACATTTGGTGACATTTGGTTTTCCGTGACAATTTCGCTCCTTTAATTCTGGCGTTACTGAAAAGCGTATTGAGAACAGGCAGTGACGGCGTTACAGCGAGAGCAGCCGCTTCGTTGCCTTGCCTTGTATGGGAGTTTATCGTTTCAGGGGGAAAAGGCAGAGATCAAAATGATTAATAATAGCAGATATTCTACCAGGCTGAGTGGGGGTTAGCTTGATCTGTTGGACAAGCAGGCACGTTACTGAAGTATTTTCCCTCTGTCTCCTGAATCCTTGCTGTTAAACCTCTATGAGAATATGTGAAAATTGAAACAAAATCCCCAGTTTGGCATTCGCGTGTCAGTGGTTATTGAAAGGGCTCTTCCCGGGAGAATTGGCAGGTAGCTGAAAGTCAAAACTGTTCTTAAATCGACAAGATAGCAGAGTCCTAGTGTCCGTCTTTTCAAGGTGTCCTTAAAGCTGGCTGGCTGGCTGGAAAAAACCCCATATTCTGGAGAGCTCTCACTGGTGTGTGTGGATCTGACACATCCGACTAAAAGCCCGATGCTGAGCATTGCTGTGGGAAGTCCCCCTTTTAGTTAGTTTTGATTGCAAATTGGGAATATCTGATTCAGTGCGTGCCTTCTGGCCAGCGCAGCCCGTTGTCGCAGGTCCCTTGATCTGCTGTGCTCTAGTGTTGTTCCCAAACCCAGAATGGCACACAAGCTGATGTTTCCTTTTTGACTTAATCTTGCTGATCTCTCCTTATCTTGCAGACGATCTGGCTTCATCTAGAGTCCGCCTCTATTTCTTCATCTCGAATGAAGGGAACCAGAACTTGTTTGTCGTTCAAGCCAGCCTGTGGCTTTACTTGAAGCTGCTTCCATATGTCTTAGAGAAAGGCAGCAGGCGAAAAGTAAGAGTCAAAGTCTATTTCCAAGACCCGGACACTAGCAACAAGTGGAATGTGGTTGAAAAGAAAGTTGATCTCAAAAGAAGTGGTTGGCACACTTTTCCCATGACAGAGGCGATCCAGGCTCTGTTTGAGAGAGGAGAAAGGAGACTGAACTTGGATGTTCAATGTGAGGGCTGTGAAGAGTATTCAGTGCTGCCAATTTATGTGGACCCCGGGGAGGAATCCCACCGGCCTTTTTTAGTGGTGCAAGCCCGCCTCGCTGATAACAAACACAGGATCCGGAAAAGAGGCCTGGAGTGCGATGGCAGGACCAATCTATGTTGCAGGCAACAGTTTTACATTGACTTTAGACTCATTGGGTGGAATGACTGGATCATAGCACCATCAGGTTACTATGGGAATTACTGTGAAGGGAGCTGCCCGGCCTACTTGGCTGGCGTCCCGGGGTCGGCTTCCTCCTTTCACACCGCCGTTGTGAATCAGTACCGAATGCGGGGGCTGAACCCGGGCACCGTGAACTCCTGTTGCATTCCAACCAAACTTAGCACAATGTCAATGCTGTACTTTGATGATGAATACAACATTGTGAAAAGGGACGTTCCCAATATGATTGTGGAAGAATGTGGTTGTGCTTGATTTAAGGTGTGTTTTTGGGGGGGGAGAGAGAGAGAGGGCGAAAGAGAGAAAGAAACATTCCCATACAAGATGGTGTTGGAGGAAGTTTCACTGTGTATCCAGGCATCAGTGTTGGAAAGTCACTGTGGAAAAGTTTGACAAAAAAAAAGAAAGAAAAAAAAGAAAAAAAATCATTTCACTTTGGTGTCAGGACAGTGGCAGTTTGTGGATCTTGGACACTTATATATTCTACCACTTATAAGTTAATGCTATGAAATATCTTAAAGACACACACACACAAAACATGGGCACGCACACAAACACGCGCTCATACACACACACACACACACACAGACACACAGACACACAGACACAAGGCAGCTCGGAAAAGGGACATGAGCACAGAAAGTCAGTGACCAGTGACGACGGACCTAAATGCCTGCCAGTACGAGTGAACGGCTGAGCAGCTGTTTCCCCGCCTGCCGGTGAAGCCAGACCGCAATGAGCTCCCTTTGCTCAGGCAAAAGCACAGACTGCGAGAACATGACATATTCTTGCAGGTGTCAAAATGACCAAACTTAGAAAATTGAGAAAAAGAAAAAAAAGTCGACTGTCACCTCTGAGGTCTAATGGGAAGCTGCAGGACACCTGCCTTGGGAGGTGATCACTTCCTCTTAATTTAAATATGCCTAAATGTAAACATCACAGATACCCGCATCTTCCTACAGCACTTCCAGTAAGGAATCGCGTGGTACCATCAGAGAGAAAGAGAGAGAGAGAGAGAGAAGGGGACAGATGCATAAGCAACTGCCGTATTTCTAACATCTGACCCTTGCATAGTCACAAGCTGGGCTGGTGTGATCTGATGCTTTAACTGCCCACCAGCAACCCGTGGATGGCTACACCCTCCGTGTCCTGGAAGAGGAGATTGGATACCGTATCTGGACTGTATTGGCCATTGACATATCTCGCTGCTCGAAGAACAAAAAGTCGAAGTTGCAATCTGTGTTCTTCCACAGGGGACTCGGCAAGGACATGTCATGTGGGGCGCAAGCAAACAAGCAACTGCCACCGCGGCTAAACCAATGAACCCTAAAGAGGAGTGACAGTAACACAGTGGAGACGTTCTGAAAAATGCAGTGCGTATAGTAACAGGCGAGGACCATTTTAACAAGACTTGGAAAGGAGGAGAGAGGAGAGTGCTTTCAATTTCCTTACCAGGAGGTGTCAAGGATGGCCATAAAGATCAGAAAATAATGATACAGCATAGCACTTGCAAACTGCTTGAATGCACGTATAATAGCACTTGCAAATTTCAATGCCTTGAAAAGTGGTACTTGATAGTGCACTTATCTTTGCTCACTATCTAGGTAAACAGGTGCCGCATGAGCTATGCAATTTAAAGTGTTGACCCATACTAGACAAAACTGGACTTATGATATGACTTTTTTATATTTTTTTATACTTGAAATTAAATCTTTTGCTTCTTTTTTAAAGCGAATGATTGCTTTTAATGTTTGCACTGATTTAGTTGCATGATTAGTCAAAAAACTGCCATTTGAAAAAAATGTTATTTTTATAGCAGCAAAAAATGAATACAGTTAAATGTATTATACATAAATTTTGGAACCAAAGAGGCCAACATATTAGTTATAATTTTTATGAGATGGCAAAGCCATCGTATATCATGTAGTCATACTGAGCAATCTCTCACGAGGCCTACCAATTGTTTCAGGGTACAAAATGGATTCTGTTTGTTCTATTCAGTGTCTTTTCTATACCATACGCACATGGAATGTAGAGTGAAAAAAAAATGACTATTGTAGAATACATTACAATATGTGCATCCTTTAAATCCAATTTTTATGTTTATTTAATAAAGTTCCTTTTAGGTTCTGTTCCATAATAATTTAAACCAAACAATTTTCACTTAGATTTGCTGTTGAAGTATTTTACATTTGTGTACAGTTTAAATAAATAAAAAAAAATTGAAAACTGGATGTGCTTTTCTTCTTTTTTTTTTTTTTATTTTTCCTCTTTTCAGTGTGTAACATCTGGAGAAACTTGCTTACTTTCAGGACTGCATGCGGCTGCAGACACTGAACTGTCGCATTAGACTGTAGTTGTATTAGTCATTGCAGAAAGCCTTGTCTGAGAGCTCAGCTGTGCTCCTAAAAATGTTACACTCCACTTTTATTGCTGTCTATACATGTAAGCATCTGCTTCTTTCTATCTGCATCAGTGCAGTGTGTCTGGGCGAAGGAACGGCGCTGTTCCGCATACCTGCAGGTCATTTACAGCAAGTTCCTGGTTCACCTGCTGTGTAAGAATGTAACTTCTTGTCTAGGTCACTCCCTCACTGGTTACAAGAGGTAAAAAAATAAGGTGGAAAGCACTTCCAGGAAAAAGAGGTCAATAGTGTTTGATGAACTTTTTTTTTTTTTTAATTAGCTGGCACCAAGGAGAGGTTTTCTTTGAGTAAAATACATCCCCTTTACTAACAAGGGATTGCTAACAAACCCCAAAATACTCACAGAAATTCTCGGCAGCTGTGTGTATATCCAGATACTGATTTCATTGATCTTCACAGATAAATTCTTCCTCCTGGAGACCTGAGCAAATGCCAGCTGAAGCTGACAGAAGGACCTCTGTTGACTTAGCAAATGTTAGGTCTGACCCTGAGACCTGGAAAGTGTTGAAGAAGCAAGTTCAAGCAGCTAATGATGGGTTCTAGTTACAATTCACATTCAAGCGTAGCTCTGCCCACCCCTCCCCAAAGCCAGACACTGCGGTTAAATGACTTTGTTTCAGGAGACCTGTAGGAGCAATTTGCTGTGGCTGTGTCAACAACCTGCTGTGCAGAACTTTGTCCCCAGACCAAATTTTTTGAATATTTCATAGTTTTCTCACCACCTTGAACTGCACATTTATTGTCAAAGCCACTGCTCGCTGTTCCTGCTCCATCTCTTAGCAGCCTTCTCCCTTCGTGCAATTGTGCTACTGATAAGTTCAATAAATCCCCCTTGAAGTTAGTGGCAAATAGATGTCCCTTCAGTCTGAAGGCACATTTTACCTAATATGACACTGTCATCATGAATAACACTGGGCTGCACTTTTAAAAATAGGATATATTAAGAAATCTTTCCCATTGAAATGCAAGATCCTGGGCGCTGCATCAGGTTAGGTTTCATTCTTAATTTAAAGTGTTTGGTTTCTGGGGTTGAAGCCAAGCCCTGTATTGAACACTGGGACTCCTGTGCTCTCCCAGGAGGAGAGCAGGGTGTCTCGGCATGGGATTTGGACCTGCAGTCCTGGTGAGCAGGGAGCTACTGGCAGCCAGGATGCTATGAGCTTGGGTTGGCCAGACATGAGGGGCAGGAATGGGCTGTGCTCTGCATCCCATGGCAAACCCACAAGCAAGCCCAGGATCCTGAACTCTTTCACAAAGGCCAGCAAAGAGCATCCCTTTTCTTGGTAAAAAGCTTTCAGAGCTTTCTTCCCCTGCCTTTCCTGCTCAATCATTTGCACCTACAGCCCTGATATTCATGGGACAGAAACAGAAACACAAAGAAAAGCATGAATCAGTAAGGTGTGAGGGGCATCATCCGGGTGTGGGAAGAGCTGGATCATAGTCCAGGTTCCTGAGTCCTTTTACTTTGTGTGAAACAGCCTCTGGTAATCGATCATAACAGAACATGCTTTGAGTTTTCTGCAGTGTGGAGTCACTCACTGCTCTGGGTGTGCTGCAGATAGTGAGGAATTCCTGAGTCCTGGTGCCGACAGCAACCTGTCATGCAGATTTCTAAGGCTCAAATAAAATAAAATTTAAAAGGTCTTTAATTTTGTGGGAACAATCTGAAACATTCGGGCTTGATTTTTCAGAGATGTGGCAAGGCTACTGCTCTTGCCAGCTTTTTGCAGGGAGCTACAGGAATCCCACTCTCTGTAGCTTTCACCTCCTGCATTTTTGAAATCAGGCAAAATGCAAGATGCCCAAGAGTAATGGTTGCTTTTCGAAAATGTTGGGGTTTATTTTCCCATCTGTCACTCCCATTCTTATAAAACTGAGCATCCAGTTTCATTGCCTTATGCCAGGTTATGTACTGTACCTAAAAAACCAGCTTGGTCTGGTCCATACCCTCCCTGAGGTAACAAAGTGTCTCCACAGTCTCTGATAGGCTTTGAATTTGAACCCATAAATACCAAACCAGTGTCTTCTACCATGCAGCAGAATCAATCTCTGCAGCTGGAAAATATTAGTCCTTTAAAATATTCTAACACAAGCAAAACCCTGGTCCTGGTGCCTGGACCTCCCACTGGCATTAATGAGGACGGTGTGTAGAGGGTGACTGTCATGATGTGGTGCAACAGAGGCCTTGGTGGATTAACTCTGCATACATCATGTATTTCCACACATAATAGACACCTGCTCAAAAATTGCCAGCTCTCACCTACTTTGCTTTGTTACTTGTGAGAGATGAGGTCATCAGCTGAAATTAATTGCTACACTCCCCCTGCCATGGGAGAAGAGGGAAATCCCTCACTGAATGAAATCTTCTTAAGAATAATTTGTGTTTGGAGTGGTTTCTACTGTGAAGGGCTGAAAAACATTTTGCAAAAATGGATCAGAGGTACAAATTTTTGTTGAGGAAGAGAGTCTGTTTCTGTTAGTACTGGTGTCAGTCTGCAGTAGCTCCCCTAAAGTCTGCAGATGTAATTCAGGATAGCACCAGACACACCTGAATCTGTTTTTCTTGAAATCCTGATTGGGCCCAGCTCAATCTCAGTGTTTCTAAAACGTTTTTTTGTTTTTCTCCCTGCTTTGGAATCAGCAGCTGAAATATTTTGCGGAACCCACAGATGCTGCATGACAGATCAGAAAAAAAGGAGAAGACACCAAACCTGGTCATGAACAGAGGAAGAATCTCCCTGCACACATTGGAATTTGGCCAGGAATTAGCAATCTCCACTAGTACAACATACCCCAGTAGCTTTCATTTGCTTGCCTAGTCAGTACCCTTGAACAAAAAGCTAGATTTACCTGACTGCTTGTAATGTGAGGGGCCAATTTTATTTGGGTACCTTCATTGATTTCAGGGGAATTGTTTCTGATTTGTAGTAGAATAAGTGGGAGCAGATTTAGGTTCTTTAATGTTCTTCCAGTTTAGCTCTTGGAATAACTTGTATTTCATTATTATGTGTTTATGTAATTAGTGCAATTATATCAAATTATATAATTGGTACAATTACTTGGACTCATGTAACCACTGCATATAGCATTCCATGCTGTAAAATCTTTTACCCTGGGAAAAAAAAAAGAAGTCAATATTACATGGGAATCTTAATTTGTTTTTAAATTCCAGTATCAAATTTAGGGCCTGACCACATGCAAGGAACTTCTGGTTCACATCAGTGGAACCTCTCCGAGCAGGCAGCTTGCAGCCTTCATCATAGATACTGGGTTTTTAATCTGATTTGGCCAATTCTATTCAACAGAGGCCCTCCTTGAATGTGTGCAGCTCTAAACAGACTTCCTTGTACAAAGCAGAGATGTCAGGTTTTATACACATGCCATTATAACCT